ATACAGGGATTTTTTTCAAACAAACTTGGCTGGAAGATACAGTACTCATGGGATGCAAAACATGCATATAAGGATGGACTTTTCCTTTACTCAGGTTCCACAGGAGTGACTTCAGGACTTTAGTGTGCACAGATTTTGGTACACTCAGGGGTCCTGGAATCAATCACCACATATACCAAGGGACAACTGTACATACAATACACATTTTCTTTATCCATTCATCCATAACAGACACTTAGATTGTTTCCATATACTAGCTATTGTGAATAATGCTGAAATGAAATGGGAGTGCAGATCTCTCCTTGAGATACTAATTTCATTCCCTGTGGCTATATACCCAGAAGTGGGATTGCTGGATCATCTGGTTGTCCAATTTTTAATTTTTGAGGAAACTCCACACTGTGTTCCACAATGGCTGTTCCAATTTATACTCCCACTGTGTGTGAGGCTTCCCTTTTCTCTGCATCCTTACCAAGACTTGTTATCTCTCATTTTTACAGCCATCCTAACAGGTGTGAGGTGTTAGTTCATTTTAGCTTTGATTTGCATTTCCCTAAGGATTACTTCTATTGAGCATCTTTTCATACAACTGTTGGCCATTTGTATGTGTTCTTTGAAAAAATGTCCATTTAGGTCCTATGCCCATTTTTAAACCTGAATTTTTATTTTTCTTGCTATTGAGTTCCTCATATAGTTTGCAGTTTCCCTTATCAGATATATGGTTTGAAAATATTTTCTCCTATTCCATAGGCTGCCTTTTCATTTTATTTCCTTTGCTGTGCAGGTCTTCAATTTGATGCAATCGCTCTCATTTATTTTTGCTTTTGTTCGTCTTGGGTTTTTGGTGTCATATTCATAAAAATCATTGCCAGGACCAATGTCGAGGAGCTTTTTCCCTATGTTTTCCTCTAGAAGTTTTACAATTTTAGGTCTTACATTTAACCCTTTAATCCATTTCAAGTTAATATTGTGTTTGGTGCAACAGTCCAATTTCATTCTTTTGCATGTGGATATACAGTTTTCCCAACACCCTTTAACGAAAAGAGAATACTTTCCCCATTGTGTACCTGGTGCCCTTATCAAAACTAGTTGACTCTCTCTCTCTCTCTCCATATACATACATACACACACACACACACACACACACACACACACGTATTTCTGGGTTCTCTATTCTGTTCCATTGGTCTATGTGTGTTTATATGCCAGTATCCCAACATTCTGATTACTATAGCTTTGTAATATAGTTTGAAATATATTTGTAGCTCATGCCTGTAATCTGAGCACTTTGGGAGGCCAAGGTAGGAGGATTGCTTAAGGCCAGGAGTTGGAAACAAACAAGAGCGAGATTCAAGACCCTATCTCTACAAAAAATACAAAAATAAGCTGGGTGTGGTGGTGCGCGCCTGCACAAGTTACCAGCTACTAGGAAGGCTGAAGTAGGAGGATTGTCTGAGCCCAGGAGTTTGAGGCTGCAGCGAGCTCTGGTGACACCACTGCACTCTAGCCCAGGTGACAGAGTGAGACACTGTCTCACCAAAAAAAAAAAAAGAAAAGAAAAAAGATTTTAAACTTCTAATGTTAACTGCATTAGTAACCTGGAAAGCAACTATTTACAATCCTGCTCTATCTGTAGATTTCGTATTTACGTGTTAATACAGGCATCATCTGATCACTCCTGAAGCCAATGATATTTCTGAAGGATACTTTTATGGTTTTTTTGGTTTTTTTTTTTGTTTTTTCTTGAGACAGTCTCACTCTGTTGCCCAGGCTAGAGTGCCGTGGCATCAGCCTAGCTCACAGCAACCTCGAGCTCCTGGGCTCAAGCAATCCTCCTGCCTCAGCCTCCCAGGTAGCTGGGACTACAGGCACGCGCCACCATGCCCAGCTTATTTTTTCTATTTTTAGTTGTTTGGCTAATGTCTTTCTATTTGTAGTAGAGACGGGGTATCACTCTTACTCAGGCTGGTCTCGAACTCCTGAGCTCAAGCAATCCTCCCACCTCAGCCTCCCAGAGTGCCTAGGATTACAGGCATGAGCCACTGCGCCCAGACTGAAGGGTACTTTTCTAAGATACAAACAATTTAAACAGAGTACAACTGTTTTCAGAAGGACAGAACAATTATTTCCCTCCCTTTGCTCAACTTCCACACTAAATATAATCCACATTTAGAATATTCTTATTTACCTTAAATTTTTTAGTTTATATTCCTAGGCATAAAACCAGTTACTTAAGAACACTGAACAAAAACACTTATTACACATGATCAATTTTTTTCTGCTTTATAGGCAAAAATTACATTTCCACACAATAAAATAAGTGTTGAGTTAGTTAACTCAAGCTAGTGGCTAAGACATGATGCTATGATAAGGCTAAATTGACCATTTGATCACCAATCCCCGTCAATTAACTTTCATCTACTGCAGGGTCACAGGCAGCATCAAAACCCCTGCTGGTCAGTGCTTTAGTCACAAGGAGAGCCAGCCAACGTACAGCTCGATCAGCACAAACCCACAATCACTATATTCTGTTTATCAACTTTACAACAAATCATGTAAGAGCTATCACCCTGGGAGAATGCACCAATAATATGCCTACTGGATACTAAAGTAGATGGTAATCTAAGACATAAAAGTTAAAATCTACTTCAGATGCTAAATTGAGGAAATAAGATATTTTTAAATCCATTTTTGTTAAATCAATATTTATGCTTTAAATTTTAAAACGCAACCACACTAAATTTTGAGTCTCACTGCTAAAACAGATACTGGTGACAGTAACATTCTTCTCTTTTCAGCTAGAGGAAATGAATAAAACATAAAAAAGATAATTGCTGATTCCTTTAACCTCTCAGCTTTACTTATCCATGTACTTTTACCTTAATGTAGCAACTATAATCTAAAACAGCAGTCCCCAACCTTTTTGGCACCAAGGGCCATTTTCATGGAAGACAATTTTTCCATGGTGGGCGGGGGGGATAGGGTTTCAGGATGATTCAAGCGCATTACATTTATTGTGCACTTTCTCTATTATTATTACATTGTAATATATAATAAAATAATTATACAATTCACCATAGGTTGGGGACCCCTGATCTAAAAGGAACTGTTACTTTCAAATTACAATAAAAATTATCTTCCAAAGACAGACAAATCCGTTTCTTTTTATTACTTACTGCAAAAACTGTAATCCAATCACTTTTCCACCCTCAATTTCTCTTCTGACCTACAACTGTTTCCCGTAATACGCTGCACAAGGCAATGCAATTACCACTTAAATCTTTTAGATTTTGCCTCTCCTAGAGATTATGAATTCTCTCAGGATATCACTGCTTCCCCCAGTCCTTCTTCCCACCAGCAGTTCACTAAAGAGTGTAAATTAACTATATGGTATTAATTTGCTCACAGATCAGCGACTCTTACTAACTAGACTATGAAACTCTGTAGACACTAGGTGTGTACCATCAATCCTTGACACAGTTCTGGGCCATAAAATACTTTCAAATACATCTAGTGAAAAATTGAGCAAATAGACCTTTGAATCTTTCCTACCCCACTCAGTATCAGCAAAGTATCCTACAACTACGGACATTTGTATTTTCTGTATATTAATCTTTGACTTTTGACCACATTCCTTTCCTCCTAGCAATACTTAACCACCTCTTTGGAGTGAAAAGGTTTGAATTAGATCTGGTTCATTCTCCAACACTAATGTTCTCTACAAGAAATACAGAGTTCACTATATGATTAATCAAATAAAATCTCACGACACCATCCTTAATTAACCATGTGGTCCTTACAAAATTTATGGACCTATGAATTGTAACAGCTATTTTTTAAAATTTACACTAAGATTTGAGAATGCTTTCCAATATAGCTGATGTTAAGGTGGATGCCTGGAGAGATGGGGATGGAAACAAGAAAGAAAAAAAAAAAAAAAGACTGAAGAAACAATTTAACATACTGCCTCCATTTCCACCTTTATCCCAAGAGAATTTAAATAAAGAAAAAAATGGAGGCAGAGCCTGTAATTCAGAATAACCATAAAGAAAACAAAAGATGCTGGATTTGCAAACTGTGCTTTTTAATCTGCTATCCTTTTTTGTAATTTTTAAAGAAGGATTTTTTTTTTAATTCACAGAATCTTTTGCTTCATCCAGGAGCAGCTGGATCTTATCTCACCCAATATTCCCCGCCTCCACAAACACCCGCTACCACTATAAGCACCTGTGCCAAACCAACCATCACGGGAAAAAATTAAACCATGAGGTTCATTTTCTTAATTCTCTCTAAAAAACAGTCACAGTTCTTCCCAAAGGAAAATTACCTATTTTAATGGGACTGAGGGGAAAAACCAGATTATCATGAAACTTCCCATTCTCCATAGGGAGAAAAATGGCATTAACTTCCAACAAGGGACAACGGCTCTTCTGCCGTATCCCCTTTTAGAACCCAAAAAATAAAAAAAGGTTTTTGAGGCATTCACAGGAATAGAAAACTGAAGCACTTCACTTTGCAGCAGTATAGCCCCTTCAAAAATCCCCCAGAATTTGGGGGATGGGGGCAATCCATCAATCCCCCCCCACGCCCGTCCATAAGAGGGAGCAAGATTCCGTCAAATAGAAAATGCCACTCTCCGCCTCCTCCGCCATCCGGAACACCGACCCGCACAGAGTGCGGGGGCGACCGAGGGCAGGAGACGCGAGGAGGCGGGACGCGCGCGACTCACGCACCGAGCTCAGGAATGGTTCACGGCTTTTAAAAATGTTTTAAAGATACGATTTCTTCAGCTAGTGGATTCCCACCTATTCACTGGTCCCAGCCCTCACCCTGTTCCTCACCCTCCTCCCCACTGGGGGCTCGGCCGGGCCGTGTCCCAGCGGCGGCCTCGGCCCCGCGCGCCCTACATCCCCAGGCGTGAGGCCCCTGGTTTGGGGATCCCCCACGCGCCCCTCACCACCCCGAGACCCGACGCGCCCGAGCCCAGGGATGCGTCGCACCTGGATGTAGTTGTTCTCGCAGTAATCGGCCACCCGTTCCAGATTCGTGTAGCTGTCGAAGAGGGCCCGGCGGCCCCCCGGGATTTCCTCTTCCAGCAGCATCTGCAGCTCCGCCATCTTCACATCCTCCTCCTCCTCCTCCTCATATAGCCCGCAGAGGTAGCAGCGGCAGCAACGCCAGGGAAACCCAAGACCGGGAGAGGAGGAGCAGCGGAGACAGCGGCGGTAACTCCGGAGGAGCGAAAAACAGCCCCAGCGCGCTACAGGGGAGGGGGCGACAGGGGCGGGGCGCGAGCCGACGGACTGCGAGGACGGTCACCGCGGCGACGGACGGCCGGGCGCGCGCACGCGCGCTCCCCTCCCTCCGCCCCCGGCGCCCGAAAAAGATTCCCACCCTCGCCCGCGCCGCCCGCCCCTCCCCCACTTCCGGCGTCTCCTAGCGACGGCGGGGGTGGGGGCCGGGATGCGCGCAGAGTTCGGTCGCGCAGTTAACCCTTCGGCCACCTCAGGTTGCGCGGCTCGGGAAGTCCCCCCTCCGGCTGCCTTTGTTAGCCAGGCGGGAACGCGCTGCCCGGCCCTGCTGGCTTCCTGCTGGGGCTCTCCGTGACTCACCTCGGCGCTGTCCTCACCCTGGGCCCGACCCCGATGGAGGTCATCGTCCCGAGGAACTTCTGAGGCCTTTCTCTGCTCCTGCCTGGAGGCCGAAGGAGATCACAGCCTCGACTCTTGGGACCATCCTCTGTGAAAGATCACACCTCACCAGGGCAGGGATGATGCTCAGAAAACTTCCATGTAGCTTTAAGCGCCACCTGACTTTTCATTTTTCTGTTTTGACCTCATCCTCTTTGTTACAAAGTAATTTGCAGTTTCCTAATCCCAAATTTCCTGCACTCCTGCTTTTTTGTACTTACCCACCAAAGCTGTTTTCCCTGCCAGATTAGCCCCTGTCTGGTCTGGTTTGCCCGCTCCCTGGGCCTCAGCTTTTTGTGCTTACCATTTTTGGGGTTTGCTTCCTCACAACCTTTTCTGTCATTTCTCTGGTTCTGTCAACTTCGCTTTCTTTTTTCCTTCAAAGATTCAGTATTTAAAACTTTGAAAACGGTTTTGCTAGTACAAATTTCTTTCTTCATAGGACTGTTGCATGGATAAAAATTTGTGAAAACACCTTGAAAACTATTAAATACAAAAAATTTAAGGTAGATGTGTTTGACCTTGTGGAGTTATAATTCTGTCCTTATTCTCCAGATATTGTACTTTCTTTTCTTAAACCTAACTACCCCACACGATGCAATCTTGAAAAACTAAAACTCCTGACAACTGCTGAGATACTAAGCTATGACCTTTATTTGTACTGTGGAAAGTCAAGGTTGACTCCAGGTGGTACCATCTTAGACAAGCGTAGTTCAAAACAAGATCCATTGTCTCAACTCTTTTTTTTTCCTTTGAGACAGGGTCTCAGTCTTTTGCCCAGGTTAGAGTGCAGTGGCATCATCACTGTAACCTCAAACTCGTGGGCTCAAGCAATCCTCCTGCTTCAGCATCCCAAAGTGCTAGAATTACAGGCCTGAGCGACCACCACGCCTGGCCCATTGTATCAACTCTTGCTCTTACTCTGGTGATCTCTTGGCCCTACTACAGTGGATTTTTTCTTTTTTTCTTTTTCCAGATGATGAGGAAACTATGCGTAAGCATTTTAATACCATTTCATTACAAATTTCTGGAGCAAACCCTAATGTTATATTGGGTTTATGATATATACATTTGTAAAATGTATGAGTTTTCACTGTAGAACCCAAATTAAAGGATATTGAAAATATTAGTCTAGTCCAACTAGTTTTATTCTTAACCATTTTAAACACTTTTCTGTATTAGTTGTTCTCAAACTTAAATGGGAGGACCTTGTTAAAAAATGAAAGCTGCAAGGGCTCACCCTAAAGATTAATTAGATGGAAAGCAGGAGTGATGGAATGATGGGGAGTTTACTGAAATGACACATTAACTTTGCTTCAGGGAATAAGACACATGAATAATAAAGTGAATAAAACAAGCATTAGATCAAATAAACTTTTCTTTCAGACTAAACCTCAATGGATCAAAAAATGCTATTGAACTTTAAGAAGCCCACCAGGTGAATTAAATGGTAGACAGATGCTTCCCCCAATATACCTATTCCCACCTAGCATTCTTTCCAATACTGCTTAGCAATTAGCCCAATAATCAAATTTCCCTGAGGGATGGTTCATCATTCTAGAAATTACCTAGAAGATTCTAGTACTTTCTCTAATTTGTGACAACCTTTTTGGACCTTAATGTCCTTATCTAAAAATCAAAAAGTTAAACTCAAGTTAGTAGTTCTCAAACCTCAGTGTGGGTTGGAATCACCGGAAGGGCTTACTGAAACAGACTGATAGCTCCACCCCTCCAGAGTTTCTAATTCAGTTGCTCTGGCCCAATTTATAGTTCTAACAAGCTTCCAGGTGATGCCTATGAAACTGCTCATCTGGCTCTGAAAGTATGTGATTCCAATTTTTGGCAACTGGGAATCCATACCAAGAGAAACACTTTTAACATTCAGCAAAATCTAAAGATCCAGGGACTTATGTGTATATTTTGCTGCCGCCAAGATTGGTTAATCAAAAAAGAAAACAACTACAAAATCTATAAAAGGGTACATAGTTATTAGAATCAAGAATGGGATTATGTACCTCATGAAAATTTTCCACTAATTACCCATACTTGTTTAAGTTGATGAAGGTAATTGAAATCTGTTCATTTTTACAATTTTTCAGATGAACTGGTATGATAAAATAGGAGCAGATTTTTAAGCCCTTAGTGACAAATTATAATAGTGGTACACATTATGTGTGAATTTTTCCATATAAACATAAATAAGTAAATTCGTTGCCTCTAAGAAAAAAGCCGTATTTCAAAAACTCTAGTACAAGACTTTTAAATTATACATATCTAATATACCCATTTATGAGGTTGTGAGGTTATAATCCATCTTGAAACAGCCTTTCTTAAGTTTATTCCAATGTTTTTAAAATTATTTGTCCCAAGTCTCAAATAATAAAAGCACCTCTTGCCTTTAAAAACAGTTACTTCTTCCCTGATGGTCTAGTGGCTAAGAAACAAAACAAAACAAAATAAAAATGAATCAGGAAAAAGTATGATGTTTATGACAAGGGTTAATATTCTTAATGTATAAAGAATATATAAGGAACTCTTAGAAATCAACAAGACAAATACCCAATAGAGAAAAGAACATGAACAGACAAATTTATAAAATAAGAAGTACAAAGCACCGATAATGTGACCAAAAAAGGTTGAATATACCAATAAAGAAATGCAAATAAACTATATAGCAAGATAATATTTTTCACCTATCAGATTGACAAAGATTATAAAGAATGACAACATCAATCATATATACTACTCATGATTTTAATTTGGTATAATCTTTCTCAAAGGCAATTTCTCAATGCATCATACGTATAAATTTATAATCTGAATGATGGGATTGTAGAGTTTTTTGGTTTTGCTCATCTTAATTTTTCTAAGATGAACATGGATTATTTTCTACAAATCCAATAAGACTTTTATCTCCCCAAATCATGAAGGATACTTTTATCAATGCAGCCCAAGATGACTTTTCTTAAAGCAATTTTATCATCAGCTTAATTAAAATCGTTAACATGGGCCGTGCACGGTGGCTCACGCCTGTAATCCTAGCACTGTGGGAGGCCGAGGCAGGCGGATTGTTTGAGCTCAGGAGTTCGAGACCAGCCTGAGCAAAAGCGAGA